CTATAATTGACATGTCCCAGTAGTTGACCTGTCTCAGTAATTGACATGTCCCAATAGTTGAAATGTCCCAATAGTTGACATGTCCCAATAGTTGACATGTCCCTATAGTTGACATGTCTCAGTAGTTGACATGTCCCTATAGTTGACATGTCTCTATAGTTGACATGTCCAAGAGTTGACATGTCCCTATAGTTGACATGTCTCTATAGTTGACATGTCCAAGAGTTGACATGTCTTAATAGAGGACATTATCGAATGGACATTTTACCTAATGTTTTTGTTTGTGAATCAAAAAAGATAAATGATAGAAGAAAGAACTCCACTCCACAGCCACTCTTTCTTTTTTCTTGACATGTCTTAGTTGACATGTCTTAATAGTGGACATTAAATTTAAAGCGCCACGAAACCCTAGATGTAGGCGCAATTGCGCCTAGTTCTTTTCCTATTTTTTTAAATTGTAATATAAGCCGCGAAACCCTGTGATAGAGGCGCTATGCGCTTGCTTCTCTTATATTTTTAAAATTCAAAATGGCGGATCCAATACGGCAGACGAGATTTTGAAAATTTAATGCATTTAGCTTGAAAATCGTTACTTGGGGGTTTTCGGGTGCGCTGATTACGAATTTTAGGTCCGTTTTTCAAAATTTAAAATAACGGATCCAATGTGGCAAAAATTTTTTTAAATTTATTGAATTTGATTAAAACTTGTCACTTGGGGGATTTCTGAGTTGCTGATTACGAATACGAGGTCCGTTTTGCAAAATTCAAAATGGTTGACTCAATACGGCGGACGATTTTTTTAAAAGGGAGAATTCACAAATGATGTCACGCTCTGGGAGGAGGGTTCTTCACCAAACGTGACAAAATATGACATGGGAAGGCAGGGGTCATCTTAAGTGTGACATCACTTTTATAAAGATTGCTAACTGAAAAATAAAAATGGCTTAAATGGTAATACATTGTATTAAATATTCATTTTTTTTATTATCCCTAAAAAAATTAAAATAAAAAATTAGGGGGAGTCATGAAATGTGACGTCCATTGAGGGGGTAGGGGTTTACTTGTATGTGACAGAGCGTGACAGGAGGGGGGTAGGGGTAAGAAATCTCGAAAAATTGCGTGACATCATTTGTGAACGCTCCAAAAGTTGATCCAATTTGCTTGAAAATCGTAACTCGGGGATTTTCAGGGTCGCTGATTCTAAATCCGGGGTCCATTTTTAAAAATTCAAAATGTTTTTTCTGACAATAATAATGTTAAAATAAAATTTTTTTTTGTACTGTACTGTGTTGTGTTGTGTTGTGTTGTACTACCCTGTTTTTAAGTTGTTCTTTAATTAGAAGAATCCGTAGCGTAGCTAAGCGAAGCGTAGCGTAGCACTACTTAGCGCCGTTGCTAAACGGAATCCCATCTGGAAAGTATCCGCCAAGCTATTGGTCGGGCTCAGCCCCTTAAATTGACGCCGGAGGAGGAACGGTACCTTCCGAGGGTTGAAAGTCTGGAGCCAATTCCCGATCAAGCAGCGGGGGTAGATCCCGTTGCCCCAGTACCAACAAATAAATGGACCCTGCACGTTGTAGTGCCGCAGTACTCTCAAGCCAGGAAGGCTAAATTCTGGGTGGCCGATAAGGCCCGTTAAATGAATATAAAATGTTGTTAAGAACCAAATTTGGGTGATAAATTATCTGACGGAAGTGACTCCTTGGGGAGAGCTCATCGGTTCGCCACGCCCCCCTTCCTTGGCTCACCCTTGGCAGGAGGGAGTTTTAACGCGGCATTTTATTGCCTGCGTTCAATATAAATAAATAGTATTATTTTAAAGTCAAATTAACGCCAGAGCGGGAATCACACTTAATTTCACTTACAATTCTATCACTTTTACTTTACCTTTATTTCCATAAAATTCCATAATTTCGCTAATGGGCGAACCGTCAGATTATTGTTCACCGGTTAGAATAAACTAAGAGTTAAACTAACACTTTTCTTTACTTTACATAAAATGACACTCGGGGTTAAGTCCCCGATTTCACAATTCTCGGGTCGATCATCGACTTAAACATCCTTGAAGGAAGACATCAAGGGAACCCAGCAAACACTGTTACATGTCAGTTATAGAGCTGTTACAAATTTTTTAAGAACATGTTCTGTAACTTGTTAAGAACCTGTGAGTCACTGGTTACGCAAAATGTCATACTCAGCGGATATGTAAGATTATGTAACAGATCTAAAACATGGTTACAAATGTATTTGTAACAGTTCTGGAACTGTTTTGTAATAACTATAAAATGGTATATAATTACTATTGCAAGATTATTACCTAAAAATACATGCAAAATATTTTTTATTCTTAATAAAAATATTAAAACTTGATGTAATAGAAAAAGGAAACTCTAAAATAAACATAGTTAGAACAGTGCCAAATTTCAAATGTTCTATAACAAGATCGCTCCACAGGCTAATACTCTAACCATTCCGCTACCCTCGCATGGGGATATAAATACAAAATTGATTTGATAACTTGAGACTGAGGAGGATTTAAAAACTGTATTGCTTATATAAAGAAAAAAAAACAAAACTATGTGATATATAAAAATTTTAGAGTTTTTAAATGTAACTACATACTTAAGTAAAATGAACTATTTATTTATTAATTCCATAGAAAATAGTTAAGGTACTTATGAACACTTCAAAATTTTTAATCTCAGGTACAAATATATTCCAGGAATGAACTTCATTAAAATTTTAGAACAGTTACATATCATTGTTCCGATATATTTCTAGATATGTGATGGAACATTAGTTACAGAAAATTTGTGACTGTAATGTTATAGAAATGTTATGTAACACTGTTGCAGAATTGTTCCGATTTGTAGGTACAAATGTCAACCAGAATTAATGTGCAACAAAATTTTAAAACAGCTACATAAAATTTTTTAGATACAGTTCTAGAACTATGTTGGAACGTCAGTTACAGATCATTTGTGATGATTGTGTTACAAAAATGTTACATTACATTGTTACTGAACTGTGAAGTTAGCATAATATAGAACAGATCGATAACTCCCTTGTAACAATGTTCTAGAATTCTGTTACAATAAGGTTATATAACAGATTCATAACCAGATTGTAACAAATGTTCTATAAAACTGGGTCCTTACTGTTATATAACATTTATAGAACGTGTTTGCTGGGAAGTATTTTCTGGCATATATAATTGGATGTGAGTCCCAATTATTCAACATTGCCAGGAAAACGAAGATCCACTTTTAATAACAGAGACCTGTCAAAACACTGGTCATCGCCATCTTCCAGACACATGTTATTGTGCAGCGTCCCTATCGGCGATTTATCGAACTTTCTTTCGACCGTCGATAATTAATGAAGTTACTATCTGACGCGCATCGATTACCATTTGTGGATCTTTTGTAACTCGGGCGAGACTTACCATGTAGACGATGTGTGACGAACGGTCGCGATCACGCTGACGAACAGTCATTTTATTCATTCTCGTTTTGGCGTTCGCAACAAAGGCAGTAGTCCCTATAGTTACGTATTAAAATTTGTGGTGCCAAGTGCAATTTAAATTATTAAAAAGAACATGAGACGAGGACTGTTAAGAGGGCGTCGGCGTATCTCCGGTGAGTCTCTCGTCCATTAAGTGTTAACTTTCGGCGGATTTGATCGCCTGAGAGGTTAATTTATAAAATTTTGTTCTCCGAAAATTTGTGTGTTTTCACAGGTCCCTTCAGGACATGTTTCAAATTATAATTAATGTGTTGTTTAAAAATTATTTTGGTGATTTTCCTTACCCACCCGCTCTCCTTGTTAACAGCTGGACTAGCATATTAAATTTATTAAATAATTGGTTTGGTTATTTTCCACAAAATAACCTGGCGTCTCGGGCAATAAATTAAAATAAACCAAATATAGCGGGTATTTTGCTTAAATCCACCATTAAATTAATTAATTAACATTAAAAATTTCAGTAAATTCAAATAAATAAATAAAAATACACGTTATAATATATACATACGACTTATTTAAATTCAGAATTTTGTCAATTACTTTATAAGAATTGGAATAGTTTTTACTTTGAATGTTTTAAATTATTGAATTTTATTTGAGTTTGATTAAAAAAATTTTATTATTATAATTATAGAATGTATCTAAACAATATTGAAAAGAACTTTTATAATTTTAAATTAATTTTTAAAGAAGTTTATTATAATGAATAAAATTAATTTTTAAAGAAGTTTATTAAAATGAATAAAATTAATTAATTTGTGATTGACTTGTTAGGTACAAATTATCATAATAAATTAATATTTATTCAATGTCTTAACTTCTTTAAAATATAAAATTTTTAATTTTATAATAATACTTTTCCTCATACAAGATTATTATGTTTAATGTATTTTACTATAAATTTATTCAAATTAATTATTTTCAGATTTTTTCAAAAAATAAAGAAATTTTTTTAGAACAGTGGCAATATGTTACAGATTTAAAGAGTATTATAGATATGTTGAACTATGTATCAGAGCTTTTACCTTGCGCAGAAAGCAATTTTGTAAGGTAAAAATAATGCTTGAATGTAAAATTTACAATTATAAATATTGTATAAGAATAAAAAAAATAAATTTTTTTAGATCTGTACAATGTCGTTGTTTTGTACTTCCCAAAAAAAATGGAACACTAGGAAAACAGCAGCAATTTTGTTTTCAATGTATGAAATCAAAAATTTCCCAAAATAAAAAATTAAAAAGAAATTATATGAATCTTAAACAGATTAATAATAATTTGTTAAGAGAAAAATTGATAGGAATAAATAAGAAAAATAAAAGACTGCAGGAGAAGCTAATTTTAATACTGATATAAGAAAAACAAATTTAACTTTGAAAGTATTAAGGCAATTGTATTTTAAAAATCTAATTTTCGTTCATTTTCATAAAAATTTATTTTGATATTTTCAATAAAATTTATTAAATTATTAGGTACAAAAGCTGAAAAAAAATATAGAATTATTGAGAGAAGAATGTTCAAAATCAGAAGAAGACATTTTGAACAAACGTTTTGCCCATCTATCTGAAAATGAACAGAATACTGGCCGAGCTATACTTTCAGCTTCAAAAGTAAAAAATTCTAGAGGAAGAAGGTACCAACTGCAGTGGATTTATAAATGCATCGTTCATCGCATTTAGAGTAAAAAAAAAATTTTACCTTTATCGTCTCTCCAAACTTTAGACAGATATACGAAGTTCATGAAAAGTCAATATGGCTTTCAAAGTAATGTTTTTTCTGGAATTAAAGAAAAAACAAAACACATGAAATCTGATGAACTTCACGGTAAATAAATTTTACGTATTTTTTATTAAACATTACACAGCCCCACAAAAAAAAGTGTCGTGCGCGGCAGACCAGACTAGTCATTTCCTATGTATTTTGACGCGCTGAACACGAATCCGAAGTCCGTTTTGCTCCATCACGTCAGGATTTTTTTCTAACCTCCAAAAACCTGTCGGATTTTGAGAGGTAGGCTATTTTTTTTAAAATTGATGGATTTACTTCAAAATTGGTATTTGGGGGTTTTTTGGGTCGCTGCTGACGAATTTGAAGTTAGATTTTCAAAATTCAAAATGGCGGCTCCAATATGGCGGACGAATTTTGTAAAAATTGATGGATTTACTTCAAACTTGGTATCTAGGGGTTTTTTGGGTCGCTGATTACGAATCTAAAGTTAGATTTTCAAAATTTAAAATGGCGGCTCCAATATGGCGGACGAATTTTGTAAAAACTGATAGATTTACTTCAAACTTGGTATCTAGGGGTTTTTTGGGTCGCTGATTACGAATCTGAAGTTAGATTTTCAAAACTAGAAATGGAAATTCTTATATACATAAGTAAAGTATTCACGTCTTTTTATGGTAGCGCACACTTTTGTCCTCAAAGGATCTGTGTAATGGTTTTCTTTTCAAATTGGTGCCTCCAGGTATAATATCCCTTTTCAGCATCCAACAGTAGTCGGCCATCATATTTATATCCCATCTTCCTTGATAACGACGCTCAAATTCTTTCAGATCTTGATGGAATCGTTCTCCTTGTTCTTCACTGTAATCTCCAAAATTTTCAGGGAATTGATCCCGATGCGTGTCTAAGTAATGCAACTTTATGCTCATTAAGCATCCTAACTTACCAAAGTTTTTAATCATATCACTAACTATTTGCTCCCAATTTTCACTCTTGTGATTACCCAGAAAATTTTCGACAACTGCTTTGAAAAAAAAAATCCTGACGTGATGGAGCAAAACGGACTTCGGATTCGTGTTCAGCGCGTCAAAATACATAGGAAATGACTAGTATGGTCTGCCGCGCACGACACTTTTTTTTGTGGGGCTGTGTTATTAAATGAAGAAATTTTGAAAATAAAGAACAAAATATAAATCCTCTTTTTATTATTAAATAAAAAAAATTATTTCTTATTCAAATTTAACAAATTAATAAATTTACCATATTCACTATACTACTTTAAATTATATCATGTTTATAACAGAATAATATAAAAATAATGTTATTAATTTTCACCTCAAAATTTGCAGGATGTTTGTTAATTGATGAAATGCAATTAACAAAATCTATTCATTTCAATAGAACATCATTAAAAATGGAGGGATTTACGAATCTGGGTGATCATACTCCAGAGCATCAAAAAGGTGAAGCTGGAGATCACGCTCTGGTCATAATGTTTCAGCCATTTAAAGGAAAATGGATTCAAACATTGGGGTGCTTTTTAAGCAAGAGAAGTGCGACGGGAACTGTCCTTCATAAAATAATTGTTGAAGCAATTATTTTAAATATGAAAATGCAGGACTTTACATTGATGTGGTTACGACAGATAAAGCGACCTGGAACCGTAATATGTGGAAGCAGTTTGGAATAACTGCTGAAAATATAAGTGTACAACATATTTGCGACCCACATAGAAGGCTCTGGTTTATCTCAGATTTTCCTCATCTAATAAAGTGCATAAGAAATTTTTTTATTAAACATGGTCTGCGTGAAGGAATTTGGGTATATAATTACTTTAAAAAATAATAACTATTTTTAACGACATTATAAAATTTTACTTACAATTTTCAGACACCCGATGGCATTGTAGCATTGCTTTTCTGGTACGCACTTTTAGAAGTGGAAAATCCAGAATGTTACAATGTCAAAGTTAATTTTAAATTAACTAAAGATCATTTAGAACCGAAGTTCTTTCAAAAAATGAATGTTGCTCTAGCCTTCCAGGTAAATGTTCAGTATAAAGTATACGCAAGTGAAACTTTGTTCCACCTCGTATGATAACTGAGAAAAAATCCAAATTCATTCTACTAAATTATTATAAAATTGTATCATTTCAGTTTTTTAGTGTAGCTGATGTTTTTTAAGTCTTCAAAAATAAACATTCGGAATTAGAAGACTGTGAACCGGCTATACAATTTTGCAAAATTAATACACCTTTTCATTAATTATAAAAAAATATGATGGTTTTTTATGTCTTAAAATACAATCGAACAAGTGGTTCCTTCTCATGTTGTTCTCCATTTTATATAATTATGAATATTTATTTACAGTTTACTTAAATATACAAATTTTTTTTAGATTGTTAAAGATTTCATAAAATATTTGGAAGAATGGCAGCTTCATGCTAAAATAGAGAATTACAATTTCTTATCTGAAAGTTCGTTCTACGGCTTGACAGTGACGCTGAAAGCGACTTTAGAAATTTGTAATTATCTCACAAGCTAATGTGGGTTCTCCCTCCTGATGACATCTCGTTTAAATCAAGATTCATTAGAAGTAAATACATTTATTTTAAATAGTATGTTTTTACAGTTTATTTTACTTCTATATATATATGTATATATATATTTTTAGAGATTTTTTGGCATGATGCGCGATGCTTGAAGTTCTAATGACCATCCTGAAGCGCAATTATTTATTCAAATGTATCGCCTTATTTCCACCTACTCTTTAATTCAACCACCAAAAGGGTCAAATATTAAAAGTGATGAAATTTTTGAAGTTTTATTAAAAATTAAAGATATTGAGAATGAAGAAGAAAGAAAGGAGCAGTGGGAAGCTCAAATTGATACAATTCTCGATCCTGGTTGTCAATCGGATGCTTTGACTGAAGCTACTGCTATACTTGAAGACCATAGGTATACAGAATCAGAAGCTTCTAAATTTGCAAATTCTTACATAGCTGGATATATAGCTAGAAAAGCATCCAGTAGATTTGCTAAATTTATTGAGAATAAAAAAAATTTATTGCAATGAATGTAAGACGAGTTTGGTATTATCTAAAGATGTTAATATTCCTGAACGATATAAATTAATTTCTGTAAGGACAAAAGGATACCTCCTGTATCCTTCATTGCATCTTTGTTCTTTAATTGACCATTTAGAACAAATAGTCATGGAAGTTGTTGGAGACGCAAAGGTTGAAGCTGACATTTTATTTGACATTACTAAAAAATTAGAAGAATTGACAATAATACCATATGTTGGATGTTAAAAACATTTTAAACAATTGACACATACTATCACAACATTTTACCTCACGACGCGAATGTTTTTTATTTCCAAACAATGGAATAAAAACAATAAAGATAGATTAAAAACAAAAGAGAAAAGAAAGTTATCAAAGATAACTAGTCAGAATGTTGACAAAGAACCCGCAGTACATATCAAAAAAAGCAAATACTAAAAAATAAATACGGCTTTTAAAATTAATAAACAAATAAAAATTTAATACAAAGATATAAAAAAATATACAATAATTTCATGTTTTATATTTTTTATCACTTTAAGTACAATACGAATTTATTAAAAAAATATTTTTTTCAATAAATCATAAATATCTCATTCTTCCCTTCTTATTTTTTTATTCTAAGGATACATTAAATAATGTATATAAAATTTCATAACAGAATTCAAATAATTATGTATTATAACTTGAAAAATATTCATTTTTATTATGAAATTTAAAAATAGTTTAATATATATAAAAATGTTACATTAAGAGTGTTCGACGGTCTGGTAAACTTTTAAACTAACACACTCTAACCTTATGTACATGTGAGGGGCCCCTTGAGATTTTATCAAAAATATACGGCACTGATAGGGAAAATGTCACTGTTTTAAGAAATGCAAATGTTTGAATAATTGTAGAAAAAAATGTAGAGCATTTTGAAAAAATCGGCGAACTTACCTTAATGTGGAATATATTAAACTGCTTGTGTGTTAAATTTGGTTTAATTTAATTTAGAAATGTTTCTTCAAAACTGGAAATACTAAAAAGAAATTTACGAGTTGAAATAAAAATGGCTGTAATTTGTCCAGTTCATTGTTTTTATTACCATGCGGGTGCGAGATATGAGGCGCACGCGAGTTGGTTACCATTGTGGTTGTGAGTGTTGTTATGATTCGACGGTGAGAGTGCAGCACTGTGAAATGGACAAGTGTCAAAATATGTGAAACGCATGAAAAATAAATTGAACCGGTGTTTGATCTTCAGGAAGATGTCTGGTAAGTACGAATTTATATTTATTTATATATATGTAATTTGTAAATAACAGAAAAATTTTTCCTAAAACAATGTTGTGAATTTTAATTGTTGTTTTTATTATTATTACTTTGTTTTAAAAAATCTATTACATGATTAATCGCATGAGCAAGTATTTTTATTTTTTGAGGAAAGATTTTTCTTGTCAAAATATAAAGAATTAGTTTATATTTGAAAAATTGTTTGTTTGTCGTTAGGATATTCTTATAAGTCTGTTTTTTTCAAATGAAAATGTATGTTTTTTATTTTTCATAATATGTTTTTGTCTGTTCTAATTTAATTATTGTCTGGTTTGTATATTTTGCCACGTGCTTTTTGTGTGAATTTCGCCTTTTTTTTATTTATTTCTTTTTTTTCATCATTAAATTTCTATGTTTTAATTTTATATTGAATTTTGGTTATTTAATAAACACCTTATTATAATCAAAATGACATTTTTAGATTTATTAATAATTTTTTTATTTGTCAACAGCAAGAAGAAGCAAATGTGGTGATCGTTGTGCAGGCGCGAGAGAGCCGAAGCCTACAAAAATGCTGTCGAAGCTGAAAAAGGTACATATAATTTATAACAACACAGAATAATCATAATAATAATTTTTATTATAGCAAAGGTGAGATGTCAGTTTTTAATTTTCAATATTAAAAATTAAATGATATGAATAATATCATTTGCTTCTTTCGACAGGAAACTCCTGTCGTTATATAGTGTCCAGTTGAAATATTAGTATAGATGTTAATGTTTTTAATTGTATAATACTATATTGTATAATACTACAATTTAAAAAATCCAAAAAAATTAACATCTATACTAATTTTTATTATATATATTACAAAGTACAATGTTTTGTCAATTATTAGATAACCAACGTGCAAAAGAAAATGGTGGAGAATTTTTGTATTTTTTTAAATGTATAGTTATCTGCTTTTCAATAAAAAGTGAAAATTTTTCAATTACAATGAAATTTCATGAAATCCATTTTTTAATTTTTAAGAAATTTTTCTTACTAGATCAGACATTTGAAAAAAAGTTATAGGTACTGCCCTTTGAGAAATAAAAATAGTTTTCTAAATTATAACTTTTGGGTGAAAAAATGTTTTAAAAAAAGTTATAATCTAAAAAATTATTTATTTGTGAAGACTTAAATTATAAAACTGCTTTGTCATATAGCCATAATAAGAATATATAAAAAATGCAAATTTTGCTTACTGTAGATTATTATAACTTTACTTTATATATATATATATATTATATTATCATCATATATAACGTTACTATTTTCAGATGATGTTGATGTGGTCGTAAATCCTCTTTTTAAGAAGAAACAAAAGGAAAAACGTCATAGTTAAAAATGCCTTATATTTTATATTTATCAGGAATGTTAACTAAAAAATTTATTCAGAATCTACAAACGCAAATGATTATTTTGTGATAAAAAGTCAGAAAGTTTAATTAAAAGCTAAATAACTTTTTAGAATTTCTATTTAAACTGAAGAACTTTTTGTTTCAAAAATTAATTAATTTTTTTTAAATTGGAGACGTAGTTGTTTTTGTTATTTTATTGTATTAATGTGTTGGTTTCTGACAAAATAATACAAAAAATTAATATGGTCTATACTAATATTCTGCATTATTTTGTCAGAAACTAGTATATTTATACGATTAAATAACAGAACAATAACGATGTTCTTAGTTTAAAATACATTATATTGATTTTTAAAACGTAAAGTCTTTCAGTGTAAGACAAAGTTTATCATCATAATAAATAAAACGTTTTTTATTATCTTTAAGAACTTTAATATTTGAATACCTTTCATTATTTTAATATTAAATATTTTTTATAAAAAGGTAATATGAATGTAGGTTAAGATTTCTGAAACGAATTACTAAAAATTTTCAAAGAAAATTAATTTTTAGAGTAAAATCATGAAAATTAGCCTCTGAAAATCAATAGACAAAGAATGTTAAAGTTATTCTGATTCTTAGTCATTCTTAGAGTAAGTATGTAATTTACAATAACTTGAAAATTTTCCAAAGAACGTGAAGAACACTGTTTTTATAAATTTGTTATAAATAAAATTTATAAAATAAAAATTTTGTGCCACGCATTATTTTTCAAATCGAAAAATCTCTTTTTTGTTTTCAAATTGGTCAATTGAAACCCGAGAGTAAAATTCTTTCATTTTAACAGTAATTAATAACTTTTGCAAAATCATTTTTTTAGACTTATAATTTCAGAAACTTATTTTGATCACATAAGGGGTAGGAAAACAATTTTACTTTGAAAATAAAATTTTTTAATTTTCTAGCCAGTTTTCAAAAATTTCATCTTCAATAAAAATTTTTTTTATTTGCTCAATTTAAGTGTATATATATATATATATATATATATATATATATATATAATAAATCATGTTCCTTATGTCAAGACGAATCGATTGGTATATATAAAGCATAGATTTGATTTAAATTAAAAAAAATTAATAAAAAATCAAAAATTCACATTTTAGCTAAAATCTTTTGTCATTATATAAATTTAATTAAATGTAAAATATTTATTATTTACTTACTTACTTACAATTTAATAGGAATATCAAAAGAAATTACAAATTTTTACTTTAAAAATATAAAATAATTTATTTCATTTATTATTTTTTATTTATTAGGGATGGTGAAAATGCAGAGCCTGCATCGAAAAAAAAATATATAGAAGAAAGAGATGTGTTGCAAAGAGGAAGAGGATCAGGAAATAAAAGAGGAGATATGAGGGAAAAGGAAAAAAGTTTAGCAAATGAAAGAGGACTTACGGAACAAAGAGGAAATGATGGACAAAGAAGAACAGGATCAGAAAATGAAAGAGAAAATACTGTCCAAAAAAGGAAAGAATCAGAACATGTGAGAGAAGATGTAGGACAAAAAAGAACAGGATATAAAAGAGGGGATGTGGGGCAACGGGATAAAGTAACAGGATATGGAAGAGGAGGTGTAGGACAAAGGGAAAGAGGAAATGTGGGACAAAGAGGAAGAGAAACAGGATATAGAAGAGAAGATATGAGACAAAGGGAAAGGGAGAGAGGATATGAAAGAGAAGATGTCGGACAAAGAGGGAAAGAATCAGGATATGGTAAAGGAGATATGAGATTAAAGAGTATAGAGGTAGATAATAGAAGAGGTGGTGGACAAAGTAGTAGAGGTAATGGAATGAACAGGGACGGGGGGGTGAAATATAAAACAGGGCATAATAAATTATATAACGTGTAAAAATGTTTTTATAACTAAAATAATAATTAATAAAATTTTAATAAAGTTAAGAAATAAAATTGTAAAATAAAATAAAATTTTTATTTTTGACCGTAAATATTCCTTTTTTCGCATAGTTGCATCTATATATAGTATAGAATTTAAAAATGAATTATAGAAAATGTTTTGAAGAAATAGGACAGCAATAATTGTAGTTTATGATTTTCAAGGATTATATAAATAAATTGTTAATTTGTAATTGTAAAACTGAACATTTTTCAGTGAAGAAAATGAAATTTTTATATTACAAAGAACTAAAAACTTTTACATGTTAAAAAAAATAAAAATTTTCATATTTTGAAAAACTGAAAAAATTTCCTGATTAAGGAAATAGACAAAAAATTTGTAAGTTAAAGAAGTTAAAAATGTAACATTTTAATTTTAACAAAAGATATTAGCTATTTAATGTTACAATTTTTTGTTTTTACAATGGTAACACAACAATTGGAGTTGCCTCGACAATTGGTTCCTTTACTCTATAATATGATTTTAAATATTTAGGACACCCTATACACAAATGTTTTCATCACTCTCCGGCACGCGTGGTTTTGTACAGTTGGTTTGTATGTCTTCCTAAACTATCAAAGCAAGGGTCGAAGATTCTTGAACACTTGCCGTTAATCCTGACCTGCACAATAAAACAGGTAACAGAAACGAGAAAAGTAAATTACCTATTATTTGAAATTCTTTATTATCAATACCGTATAAGAAGAGGTAATGATTATGATAATAAAATGATTTTTAAATTTCTTGGTAAAATTAATAATAAATAATTAATTGTGATTGTAATTTATTATTTTCTTCATAAAAGTAACTACTAGAAAAAAATTTTTATGTAAAATTATTTATTCTCTTTATATAACTTTATTATAATTAATTTACTTTTTTCTCTTTTAATATCTATATAATTATTTAATGTTTCGTAATTTTATTATTAACCCTCCGTTAGTCGCATCAAATTTTTTTCGCGGTCGGTCGCAGTTCAGGAAACTCCTCATCTTCACAATTCAGTAATATGATCTCGTAAAATTAAAATTTTTGTTGTCAGTTTAGATTGGAGATTATATACTTTTAATTTAGAGGTAAATTAAAATTTCTTATTATTTATTATGAAAATAAAAAATTATTAAAAAGTAAAATTGACCGATCGCGGTTGGCTGCATGGTGAGAAGATTGCTCACTATAATTCAAAAATTCATGACATTTGTTACTTTTAAATTGAATGACATGAAAATAATGCAACCAAAAAATATTAAAAACTATTTAAATATATAAAAGAAAATGTTTATGAAATATACTGAAATTATGAATTTTTATTATTATATATTTGAAGAGAAATTGAAAAAATATGAAGTGGGTGAGGAGTTTTCTCACCATGTAATTGACGGAGGATTAATAATATCATCGCATTTCTCAAATTATTTTACGTGTTATAACATTATTTTGAAAGAAACGGTAGTTTATTAAATATTTTTAACAATGATAATGTTACACAAATTATAACAATTATTTTATAGTTCTTGAAAAAAAATATTCTCAATTTTATTTTTTTTCTCCTTTGTGAAACATACGAAAATGAGATAAGTAAAACAAATTTGACAAATTTACGTTTATTTATATTTTTTAAAAATATTTTTAAAATATTAAATTTGATAGGATGATTTCAAAAATAGTAATGTAGGTAAAGAAGATTACCATATTAAAAAGATTATAATTCTAAGCGGCAGGGGGTAATTTTTTTGTTACTGTTGCAAATAGTGTGATCAGATCCATTTTTTCGAGATTTATACGTTGCAATATTATTGAAAATGGAAAATGAGAATAATGTAAAAACTACTTCTACCCAAGTCTTATCATTTATTTCCAAACGAAAGTCTAAAAGACGTAAAATGGCAAGAATGACTTAAGTAATTTCTATAATGTTTATTAAAAACTTTATGAGGTTAGGTTAAAAAAACGACATTTGATATATTTATTTCTTCTAAAGTTATATTAGACATAAAAAAATTACAGTTGAACAAAATTGACAAAAAAATTTGGTATCTTATTAAAATATTGCAATTTTTCACGTGTTGATTCTCACTCTTTATATATATATATATATATATATATAAAACATTGCATAAAAGTTATTTATTTCGGTTTCTAGTAAAGATAAAAAAGTAAACAACGGCTTATTTTAAAGCTTATATCCTCTAATTTAACAATATCCAAAAAAAGTATTGAGAATAAAACTTCTTTATTGTCTAATTGCATTTCTAAATGGACAAAATTTTCCATTTTTTAGTCAATTTCATTCTAATACATTTTGTATAGAAATCACTTTTAATACGCATATTTTGAAATTTTATTGTGATAATTTTTAACAAAGGTATGGTCAATTATTTTAAAAAAACATCCCTTTTTTAATTCTTAAAAACTTAAGAACGGTTAGTTTTTGAAAAAACAATTATCAGGTAAAATAGTCCTTTTTATATATAAAATTAGCCAGAGAAATATTTAACAATTTAAATCATATGTTAAAAAAAGTTTTTCCAAACAATTGTTAAATATTTGTTTGGTAATTCTATAAATAACAACAAAATATAATCTGATAATTTTTTTTTTCAAAAACCAACCGTTCTTAATTTTTTAAAAATTAAAAAACGGGTGCTTTTTTAAACCAAATGACTATTCATTTGTTAAAAATTATCGCAAAGAAATTTCAACATACGCGTATTAAAAGTGATAAAATTAGCTTTCAAATGCGTTGCTTGAAATTAACGTGTGATAATTTGTTTAAAATATACATTAGATTGAAATTGACAATAAAAATAGAAAATTTTATTTATTTAGAAATAAAATTGAACAATAAGAAAATTTTTTTCAATCCACTTTTTGAATTTTTTCAAAGCAGGGGATCGTAAAAATGTTTTTAGCAATGCAGAGAAAATTAATACAAGTAGAAAAGCGATTATTTTTTCATAACAACGTTTTGTTGACAGATTTTTTAATAAAAAATTTTTAAAATTAATTTTGGACACAGAATTGTTAATTAGTGACCTAATCCCCCAAAAACATTATTTGAATTTCATCAATCAAAAATTGTGCTAATCCAAGTGAAGAATAATAGGGTAAAGCACGTATCAACTATCTCTCTAAAAATTGTATCAACCGTCCCTTAGGTACATTTTATTACAATTTATTACTTTGTTAAAATACTTTTCACTAGATTTGAATACTTTTGATCATAAAAAACCAATGTGTACATGAAAACTGAAAATTTTTCCTGTTGGACCCCTTCTTTTGTATCAAACGTCCTGAGTTTCCCCTAGTAGTTACCCGAGTAGAAATATAGGCCCTGTTTTAAAGACAGAGCTACCAAATAGAACCTACTTTCATACTGTAAAACCTTTAGCACCTTTTTAACATCCATTTAGCCCTGAAAGTCGAACTTGGTTCCCAAGATATGTAAACTAGATCCTACTTTCATTCTTTTTAATCTATAAGACCCTACTTTAAATCTTTTTATTCTAAATTTATAAAATCTACCAGAACCTATTTTCAATCTTTTAATTGTACATTTATAAATTGACTCCATTTAAATTTTCAAAACCCTACATTCAATCTTTGTACTCTTTTCGTTTCATTCAATTGCAATTATTTATAATATATTAATAATTTTAATGAATATATGAAGGGTAGAATGACAAAAGGGGTCAAGCGCCAATTCACTGTTTTTACAGGAAGTAAAAAAAAAAAAAAATTTTGCAGGTCATTTAAAAAAAAACTGAGAAAACCGTTACGATATATTAGTATGTTTTAATAAATAAACAACAATTTGTTGAAATAAACCTACATATTAACGATAAAATTAAAAAAAACTGTGGTTCCTTGAGGTTATATCAACTGCGCACATTTTCTTTAACCATTAATTATAAAAAAAATATACAGTTTAAAGAAAAACTGGAAAATTAGTTTCTTTCTATGGAATCGACGAAATGAATAGAAAAAAAAATTCCTTTAAAAAATTGTTTGTTTTCAAGAAAATTACGAATTAATTGCTTGCTTTGGAATTGAGCAATACTTTCATCTTTAAATTCAATTGTTCACTTAGTATAACCATAAAAATATTTAAAAATTAATAACAAAATGATTTTAAAATTGTTTAAAATTGAAAATACATTATTATTATTATTAATTTTATTAATTAAAATATTATTAAAATAAAATTAAAATAAAATATTAAAATAAAACCTAAAAAAATAATATTTTTTTTTTATTTTGATAATATTATTGACTCATCACTTTCTTTTGTTTTTCAATCAGGTTGCAATAAAGTAAATTTGAGGCTATTTTATTAATTTAATTTTTATTAAAAACTGATTTAAATACGCAATAAAAAAGGAAATCCTTCTACAGAAATGTGTAAATGAATTTTCTTGATTTTTTTATGCAAAAACCTCATTTTCGATAAATTGGCGCTTGACCCCTTTTGTCATTCTACCCTTCATATCTTTGAAGAAATTAAATATATAATTATATTTAGTAATTATACATCATTTTATATTATTTTTCATAGCTAATAACATCAGAAATTAAAAAATTATTGTTCAACTTGTAACGTAGCGTTACATCATTTTTCAAAACGAAGGATTTCGGAAAAACAATCAAAGTATTGAAGCCATTGGAGCGAATCACTTTTTATAAAATAAATTTTTAAAAACTAATTTTCGAACCCAAGTGTAAAGGTAAAATATTTTTTATTTATTGAAATCTATTTTTAAAAACAATAAAACCAAAAAATTAATTTTATTGTTTTAAAAAATAGATTTCGATAAATAAAAAATATTTTATCATCACACTTGGGTTCAAAAATTAGTTTCTAAAAAGTTTTTAAAAAATTGATTCGCTCCAAAGACTTTAATGCATTGATTATCTCTCCGAAATTTTCTTATTTGAAAAATGACGTAACGATACATAACAAGCAAGACTACCTTATAGAATCAGTAGGTTGAAAGTAGGTTACACGAGGATTCAATATATAAGGTTTAGGAGCATGAAAGTAGAGTTCACGAAGTGTAAAACTAGACCCTACTTTAACGCTTTAAATGGAAAATTGGGAAATTTATGCTATCTTTTGGAGTGTAGAAAATTTATC